ATCAACCTTAAATACAGGCTATGGAGAAGAAGTAACTGCCTTTACACAGAAATTTTTGATTCTTTTTTTGATCCTTAAGCATACATCAAAAATCAAGTGTGTTTTCCATCTATACAGAGTTCCATACGTGGTACGTTAGAGGCTTCCCCACACTAAAATAACTTACCCTAGATCAGTACTTTTTAATCAGCAGATAACATTGAGTTCCAGCAATAAAGCCTTAAACTTAAGTTTTGACTTGCAGTCGAACATATTTAGCAAAAAGAAAATGCTCAATTTTCCTTTCGCCATCGTTAGCCTGCTGTTAGAATGAGTTGCTAATGGGAACACAGAGATCAATTCAGGTAAGGTAAATGAGCCGTTAGGTAAGGTACAATTCACTAAGCCAGGGAGGGGCGCAAATTGCCTACCATCCGCTGTGGATTTTATAGGCTAACGAAATGTGTTCTTGTCCTCAGGGCATGGGTCCTTGACGTGAAGCATAAATACTTGTGCAAGCCTTGTTTTAATCAATCTCAATCGTAGTGTGTAGTTTATTTCATTGCTCTTACTTTAATTTACCCCAAATTAAATTTCCAATAAGAATTTGATTATTTTCTAGAGGAAGAAATTTACATATAAATGTAGGAACTAAAACTGGTTTATTTCCACTTCATTAAAAAGTCTAAGAAAAATACCATTTTGGAACGGTCTTTACTTAAAGCGGCTAATTTGTCTCCTAATCTTAAAACTGAATTTAAACAGACGTTACAAATGGACCAGCAATATCATAGTTGTATGTCCCAAGGAAACCGTGAGAGAAATAAAAGACCTAGAACAATGCTCAGAAATGCTTTGCTGCTTATTGGAAGAGGTGAAATCAAAGAACCTCAGTTCGCTTTCAAAGTACATATATCTTAGCTCTCAATGATCTGGAGTTGAGATGTTATTATTTGAAATTTTACTAATTTTTTTTCATGCACCTTAGCTGAGAATCTTCAGTATAGGAGGATTTTAATTTAGACTATGGAAGTTCACAGAACTTTAAAAAGGCAGTTTATTTGCAAATAGCATGTAAATTAGAATCAGAATAATGGTGGGAGAGAAGGACGAGAAGACCCTTGTGGGGGCTTTCATTGTTATTGTAGAAATACTGTAATTAACGAGGATGGTGGAGATCCCCATACTGATATGGAAGCACCAAGAATATCTCCCAAAGTAGAATATAAATAATTTCTGGATTATTCACGTCTCATCAGTCAGGAGTTACTCACTACACAAATAGTTCACTTTTATAACTCAGTCATTTCAAACTTTAGACTTTATTTACAATGATAATTTTATATTTTTATTACTTAGAAAATAATTTATACTTTTCCATCATTTAAACAAAGCATAGGCCTGAGTCTCATGCCTTCTGCACAGCTTGTATCTTGAGAGGAAGTTCTCTGGGTAAGGAAGACAGGGGACATAGGGACATCGCAAATGAACAGTCTACGTACATCTAGTCTGAACAGTCTTCAAGACATTCCAGTGCTTTTCTTTAGTTTTACTGGGATTGCAATGGGTCAGATTTGTTCTGGAGGTCAACCAAAATGGAAGAGACAGAATTGGGTGTTTGTATTTAAACACAATACGTGGACATTCCTTCACCTGTCAGATGAAGACCAAATTGAACATACCCAGATACAGCGCTATACAGAGTTCTGTCTTCATCTTTCACTGAGAGCAAAACCAGGTCTTACATGATGACACAAAGATACAGATGTAGTTAAAAGAAAAAATCAAAAGTGGTGTTTTTACCAAGGAAACAATATTCTAAAGGCCAGCTGAACGAATGGGAAAGACATTCTATTAGCATGCTGACAATTTATGACTTTTATGATACTCATAATATACCTGGTCTTTTACTAGAGAGGGTCAACACGAAGAGTCAGGTAATCGGCTCTAACTTTTCCTACCACTGATTTCATGGTTGTCTAAACAATTATCTTTCTCCATAAGTGGGCTAGAAATTCCTTCATTTGAAAGACCTGAGTTGATCTAATGGCACCTAGAAATAGGCTCATATAAAAAACGTAGTAAATTGCAACAGATACATTGGCACCACAGGAAGTAAGCTCCGGAGTTGGAAGTGAACACAATACTATTGCTGTCGCCAAAAAGGGGGAGAGCCCCACCAGCAGAAAATATCTTCTTATGTCCCTAGGCATCCTCTGAGACGTACTGGGTGTGTACGAAAGTCACACAATTGGTAGACTTCCATCCCTTTATTTCCACTGATTTCTAGCTTTAAATAGAATGGCAATTTATTTTTAAAGAAAAAAATTATCAATCTGCTTGGATTGATGAACCCCAGTTCTGGAATGAAGAGATTCTAATTCCTTTGGCCACTATTATTCCCATTACTTCATGTACCTTAAAACAAAATCAACAAAATCAGGCACTTTGCTGAGACCTCCCCTAGGGCAGCCAGGCTGGCCCCCGTGTGGGCCATGCAGTTTTGAGAAAACCGCTGACAGGTAGCCACGGACTCACAACTGTCCTGCCATTTCACTAGCTCCACATCTAGAGCTTTTTTCTCAGTTTATATTTACTTAAGCGATAGACAGAATTTGGAAAAGGGGGGAAAGATTAGTTTTGTTAAATAATACATGCAACTGGCATGAGACTATAAATGGGTCTTGTTCTTCTCTTAGCTGCAAAGGAAGGAGAACAGTAAAATTTACCAGTGAAATAGATCTGACTCAGAGTCATTTTTGCAAACAGAGAGACGCACAGGCAAAGTGAAGGAAATGGAAATAATTCAGAAAGTCCAAAATACTGAAGACCTGGCATTAACCCAAACATGGAGTGAAATATATTGAAATTATTTAGGTAGAGTTGGCACCTGATCTTTTTTATATTTTCTACTTATTGGAGAATTTGTCCTTCAGCCATGCTGACTTTGGATTGTCTTAGCTTTACCTTATTATAAAATTGCCATGGATCACCGCCAAATCACGCTTTGAAGGGGAGACAATATCCACTCATGAGAAACAAGGATATTTTTCAATGTAAACACTCCTTTCTGTGACTTCAGAGGAAATAAAAATCGTCAGCAAGGTTTACTTAGAAGCCAAGATTGTTTAGATGATAAACAGGTGTGTATATAACACTGCAGGAAGAGTTATAATGAAAAAGTGTTGGAGAGAAATGGACACGTGGATGCCAGCTATACAAATCTGGCATTGGTTAAAAAAGCCATCTGGGAGACATGAACCCCAAGTTCATTCAGTCAGCGAAAGTTCCTAGTGGAAAAAACACATTCTCTGCAGCATCCTCTTTTAATTGGCGGAAATGACTGTATCAGATTATCATTTAGATTAGCATAGGCGGATGAGTGGCCATTCACCCCCTTGCAGATAAATCATCACTCTCTTGCTGGGCTTGGAGATAACTATCATGTATAAAAATGGTGATTAAAATATAACTTTATAAAAATGTCTCCCTTTTCCCTTTCTTTTTTAAAAAAGGAGTTTACTATCTACAGAAACAAAAATCTTTGTATTTACATCAAGATAACTATTCATGACATATATAATAATATGAAATAAAATATTGAAAGTGAGTATCAACTTTTTTAAATAGAGGTTTGGCTCACAGCATAAACAAGTGTAGATAAACAGACAAACAAACAAAAAATAAGACTTGCAGTAATAACCCAACCCCCAAACAGTCCCTCTATAATCTTCCCTGTCAGAACCAGTATGACGATGGACCAGATTGCAGATGGAAGGTGCCCCCTTACACAGCGTGGAATACCTCTGCTGGGGTGTCCGGGGGACCTTCATCCCCCAAAGCCAAACTTCGACAGTTGCCAAGGATCAGGCCTTTCCTGTGCTGCCCCAAAACTCTTGGGTTGAAATTTTCTCCTTCATCACTTTCTGTATAACCCAGAGTGGGATTTTGCCTGCCTTTTTCTTTTTCTACCCCACATCTCGCAGCAAATTAAGATGACACAGGAGATCACTGTTAAGTGTAATTTCCCAGGCCTTCTCCGGCATCATTTTAGTATTCTACCCTGATTCAAAGACATCACTCCGGCTCCTTCCGAAAGAATGCCATCCCCTGAAATGGTGACGGGCTCTTACTGAGGGACATCCACACTCACAAGCAGCTCTTATACATTCATTAGGCGAGTAGACTGGAAAATGCCTCCGTCTTGTGTGTTGGAGGCTGATGATAGAGCGCCTCCAAGTGGTGCATAGCGGTAATACCAAACACGTGGCCCTCATCCCGCCAGAGTGTGCCCTCCCTCTGCAAAGGGACCTTTGAGGGAGCTCCATGGAGCAGGTGCATTTGAAATGGCTGCCTCTCAGAGACACTGCAGAGTGAACTTCTGCTGTTCGTTCACATACACTCAGGCATCTGCTACAGCTACTCTGCGAGCTAGGAAAACCACAAGACTCTCTCCTTACGATATGCACACACGCACACAAACACCCTCTCAACCTGGATCTGCTCTTTTTCTCTCTTTCTCGCACACATCCACTCACACAGTCACACACAGTGTTGGCAGGATGTATCAGAATCCAAATAATGCTCTGGAACGTTCATCCCTCGGTACTAAGAGCAAAAGCTGCTTAGTGGGTAACCTCCATGGGCTGCCCTGTTTCCCTGCTAAGCCGCACCGTTCCCTTTGTGATTTGGTTTCCTTTAGGATTGTTTATATCACAGTGACCACTATATATCTTACTACACATGTTACTACGTGGTGGAGCCAGCTTTCCTGGCTTCAAAGTGTGTGTGTGTGTGTATGCGTGTGTGTGAAGATGTTTACACGTATCTATGTGGGACCTTATATACACACACATATGTAGTTCCTCCTTAAAAAAAAGAAAAATCCTTCGAAGCTGGTGGTGCAATGTGAAAGCTTCTTTGAGCAAGAGTTTTTTAAACAATGTATCTCACTGTAAAAATAAACACATAAAATACAAGGAATCCCCAAATGCAATAGCCATTGGCCCATCTTCTTGAACTTCTACAGTGTTGTGTCTTCAGTGTTGTGCTGGCTTGGAAAGAGTCTGCGACAAGTCAGTCTGCTCGGACACACAGCTCAGTCTACCCCCTGTCACTGGTCGGGCTTTGGAGGTGGGCTCTCCTCTCCTCTCGCTTTCCCTTTCTCTTCCTCTTCTTCCTTGATGGCCTGGATCTGTTCCGAAGAGTGCTGCTGAGGGCTCTGGTCCAGGGATTGGTTTTCTATGCCTGCTAACCGCTGTTCCTCCTCAATGACGTTCTTCCACATCTTGTGGTTCTGCAAGAGGTGCTGAGTTATTTGGCAGTAGATTTTCCTCCTTTTGAAAGTTTTCTTTCCTTAAAAAATAAAAAACAAAACAAAACAAAACAAGAACAGAAACACCAAATTAGACTACTTAATTGAGTACGTGAAAGTAATTTCTTTTCAGATTGATAATAGGAATTAAGTACCAAATGGATGGATGGACCTCTCTCTATATCCGTAATCATATATATATATCTGTCCACATATATAATCATATATATATCTTCACATATATATATGATTTACATATCATAATAGCACAATATTGGAGAATGAGGAAGAGAAAGATGGTAACAATCATTAAATTATCACTGAAAAGTAACTGTGAACAGTATTAGTAAGTATTTCATTGTTGGTAATGTCCAAATGCAAAGTTCTGCTGGTATCTTGGCATTATTTCACTATATTTAGCCTTTCAATACTTTTCACATCCTAGAACATTAGAATAATTTCTACGTCTTCCTTTGTCACAAAAGTCTACAAGATTGATTTCTTTAAAGAGAGTGTTGATTAGTTTTCTGCTTCATGCAGACATAAAATATAGTAACTAATTTCACACTCCATTCAAAGTTCTCCCACGTACTGGCACAAGCTCATGTTTGCCATCTCCTCTTTCTGCAGCTTGGCCTCTATCTGTACGTAACTACTCTATTTCTTATATACACTAGATTCTACTTTTATTCTCATACTCCCTCTCTCTTTCTGAAATATTCTTCCCAGTCACTGGAAGTTCATGTCCATTCATTATTTGAAGGCTTGGTCAGATTTCATTGACTTCTTCTTCCAAAAAATAATTTCTAAATTCCTATGTTGGTCTCTATATACTCCCCAGAATGGATACTGTTTCTGATTTTCTTTTTCTTCTTCCTTCTTCTTTTCATTCTTTTCTTCTCTGCTAACTCTGTATCCAAAACTATGAGGGGAAAGCTTCACACTTTATTCAATTATGTGATTCTAGAGAAGGTTGTCAAACTCTACTTCCTGACAATACAAGCTGTGTCACAGTGATTGGCCAATGTGAACATATGTGACCCAATGTGAGCCAATCAAAATTCTTCCCTGGGATATTGCCTACTGGCAGAGAATGAATGTGGTGTTGACTTGGGTCAAAAATTTAGAAGTTGGGGTGGCACCTGTGGCTCAAAGGAGTAGGATGCCAATCCCATATGCCAGAGGTGGCAGGTTCAAACCCAGCCCTGGCGAAAAAAACGCCACCAAAAAAAAAAAAAAAAAAAAGAAAGAAAAAGAAATTTAGAAGTTAAGCTAAGATCCTCCCACTAGTCTGTAAAGTTCCCTATCACAGACCTTTTTGTGTATATATCTGCAAAGCCCCCAACTTCAGAAAATACTCAGAGTATTTTATTGTAATATCCCACATAATTTTTTTGCACTTTATAGGACAGTAAAATCAACTTTTAAAACATAGTGCAGAAAAAAGACATTTAATTAAAATATAACAAAGTACTTCTGATCCATACAAAGTACTTTCTGATCTAATAACAAAATTATTAAATTAAATGAACACTAGGGAAAATGCACACAGGCAGAGTCATAGGGAAAATTTAAAAAAGACATATTACTATTCTGTTCATCAGTTATTCATGAGATGGAATGAAACTTACATTGACTAATTGGTAATTACTTAGCAGGATACTATAGCAAAAAGATCAAGTAGGCGCACAGCATGCCTTAAAGGGGGTTATGCTCTATTCATGTATAAGAAAGAGAATCAAAAAGATAAAAACTGAAATACGTGTCATGTGTTTTATGACAAACATACATGTGACCAGGCTGGCTGTGCCATTCCTCTCAGTTTGACTAAACTTTTGACTTCAAGACTGTAGGACTCTGGCCTTTCTCTTCTTATTTATTTCAGAAAACTTGTAATTGCAAATTCGTTCTCTGCCCCTTTGTAATATAGGTAGATCTTCTCCCAGGCCTCTAGCCAATTGTAGAACCCAGGAATGTCTTTCTCCAGAACCTGGGAGCCATCTGTTTGAAATATAATTATCTACAGAGAAAGATAGAGCTCATACAATAGTAATACAGTATCATTGACTGTAAATACAATGTTTAAACCAGATATCCAGAACTTGTGCACTTAAAAATTTAAGAGGGCAGATAGCATGCTAAGTGTTCTTAGAGCAATAAAATAAAATTTTGAGAAGTCAGGAGACAGAGAGGGAGGGAGGAAGAGAGGACCTGAGGAGAAAAGAGAGGGAGAGAGGGAGAGGAGGACAGCCAGGAAGAGAGGGAAGAGTGAGTCCCTATCTCCTAGTCTCTGTGGGAGAGTGGGAGCCTAACTTTAGGAAGTGCCAATTAACAACCGGCTTAACCACATTACTCAACTCCCTCCTTCTGTTCTCCAGTACTTTTTCACTAGTTCTTAAAAACTGTCCTGCCTTTGGTTTTAAGAGAGTTGGTTCAGTCCTTCTCTCCTATTTAATAGTATTGCAGTACTCTTAATAAAGCCTTCTTTTCTTTGCCATTTTTGACAAGTGTCTGTACCATTTCTCTCTCACACATCAAAGCACAGCAACACAAAAAACACAATGTGTGGGAGAACTGGTAGGATTTCTTTCAAAGGATGCAGTACCCGAGCTGCCCATAAGTCACGAAGTCATGAGAATTAAATAAACTGGGTAAGGAAAGGCTATGAGTGTTCCAAGGTGAGGGGGCAGGGAGGTAAAAGGGGCAGGGGCCTGGAGTACATCCCATATGCCAGTCCCTTCATTTGAAAGTTTCCTAATAAACACACACACACACAAATTTAAACAGATTTGAATTCCTTCCATCAAAAATCACTAAAAACGTATTCATACATCTGATTTTTAAAAGCAAATTAAAAATTATTTTTCTACAAAAGCCATCTACTTGTCTATTTCTACTTTTGTTTTCTCATAGTTAAGTACACATCCACTTCTGCCAAGAAATCTTTAAATAGGAATATCCTTTTGTAGCCTAGTCCTCTGAATCAAGGGAGTTCCAGAGGACCCTGGGATGAAGGACAGATTTGAGTGGCGGTGGCAGCGAACACTCTGCTGCTCCAGGTGACGATTCTGTCCTAAAGTCACACACACTCCCGGCAGTACAGTCACAGGGAAGAAGCTAACAAAGGCCCACTTTTTCTCTTTTTCCTTTCAGGGCAGCTCCCAGGAGAGCAGCTGTTCTCTTATTAATGCTGTCAGCAATAAACCTCTCTGGAATAATGCTGAATAACAGTGACGTAGGAGAAAGTTTGTACCAAATAAATTTGCGTAGATTAGAATCTGCAGGTGGTCTACGACAGGCCTGGGTTAGAAGCCAAATTGTTCCGCACTGGAACCTTTTGAAAGAAGAACAAAGAGCCTTTCACTGCTCCCATTCTAAATGCAGCTTAGTCCTTCATTAGAAACCTCTTAACTCGCTGTAGGAATCATTCAGATTTAATTTTGAGGTACTAGGAAAACCTTCTTTTCCTAGGATACCATATTGCAACATTTTATTCTGTGTTTCCTGGGAGATCTCCAAGTTTCATAAATTGAAGAAGTTATCTGTGCATATTTAATTCAATTTTTTCTGAGGCCTAAGGATTAGGCTCAATCAGAGTAACTTTCTCTACCAATATGAATTCTGAAATTAGAATCCCTAAGAACCAAAGCAATGGTTACAAATTTGGATACCTGAGTTTCCTTTACTGTTCTCCAACCACTTGTTATGTTACTTAAAATCCTGAGCCTTAGTTTTAACTCTTTTGTAAAGTGAGGCAGATAAACTGGGTGAGCATAGACTCCCCTTCCATTTCTAAAATTCCATTACTCTCTGGGGCACAAACTTTACCATCTTCTTGGCTCTAAAGGAACACTTCAAAGATATTTCCAAAGTGACAGTATTGAATCATTGTAGAGGGGATATTTTAAATTTTCATGGAAGGGGGTCAGTTAACTTTGGAAACCACTACTATACAGAATCCACAGAATTCATTTCTGCTTCAATAACTTGGAAAACATGGTTAGGTGAACAACATCAGAATGTGAACACGTGTATGATAGCTCAACTCTGCAGACCAGAAATAAATAGAGTATTTGGTTGTAGCATTTTCAGCTAAATCCTAGGTTGATGAGTCGAGACTGTTAAGTCTCCGGGCCTGGGTCCTTCAGGTCTTGCTGTGTGTGTGTTTTCCCTCTGTTTGAATTCACACAGCCATCTGTCCAGGCTAAGCCACCACTACCCTCATTCAGCCGAAGAACTGTCTTATCCTTTGTAAGACTGCAAACTCCCTGGCTCTCCGAAATGAAAACAAAGCAAATGAGAAAACAAATACATGTTTATTCAATGAACAAATGAATAAATAACTTATGAATCCTACGTCTTGGCTTCCAGCTCTGAATCTTAAGAGCACCACAAAATTTCTAACGGAAATCTTTTTATAAACATCAAAGAAACAAAATATTATTACTCAGATAGTAGAATATTGAAGGAAAATAACTTTTGATTGTTCCCGCATGCTATACAAAAATGGATAGGTCATAACTTAAACAAACAAAAAAATGACCTAAAGCCAAATTTGCAAAACTGTCTCATAAGGTTATAGTAGATAATGATCTCTTGACCTTTGCTAACATGTACTCGCATGAGGGCAAAATAGATCAAGACAGAGTTAGAGAATCTCCTTACTAATTGCCTGAAATTAATCATGTCATGCACTTTCCTGACTGTGATAAAGATAGGAACAAAATGATTGTCTTTCATTGGTAATCTTTCTGATCAAAACTTTGAAAAATATTAAGGTTGTACTTTGTTCATCTGTGACTGTAGACATAAACCACATACTGTGTTCTTAGAGACACAGGAACACACTGTATTCGTGCAATGTCGCTGGAAGGGTCACTTTACAGGTTTTACTATTTATACTATAAGTCACTACTTTCTTCATACAGAAGAAATAGGGGAGTATATTTAAAGGCATAAAGAAAAATCATGTTTTTCTAGCCAGTTAAGTTAAAGCGAGTGGACTGGCCACGTTATGCACTCCAAGCCAGTTACCTCTTCTCATTGTCACCACTGCCTTCCTGGCCCAAAGTCAGTTATCTCTCCCTGGGGTAATTTCAGCAGTCTCCTAAATGATATCCTATTTCTACCCTCGCTACCCTCCAAACCAAGACTATTCTCAGTATAGCAATAGAAGCAATCCAGTTAAAACATTTGGTCAAGTCCATTAACTTTTCTGCTTAAAACCACTGATTTCTACTCTTACTCAGAGTAAGTACCTAAATCCTTCCCTTCAAACTCTGTATTACCTGGCTCCCAGTGCCTCTCTTTGGCTGCTCCTCTTCCCCCTTTTCCTTTACTCTCCCCCTGTTCAGGACGTTTTCCCAAACATCCTAGTCAATGCACACCTCAGGACCCTTGCACATGCTACTTTCTCCTCTTCCTGGAATCCTCTTTCCGTATCTCCATTGAGAGCATCCTTTCACTTCCTTCAGATCTTTTTTTTTTAATAATTTATTTAGATCTTTCCTATCCCTCATTGTCTTACCCAAAATTTTAATCTTTCTCTGCAATATTTCCTATTTCTTCTTTTTTAAAGCTCTCATATTCATCAGTACCTAATATATTATAGATAGACTTATGGATATACTAGATACTACCCAAATCATTAAGATAACTACACAAATGCTGTGTTTCTATTTAGTATTTTTGTGACCCTGAGGTTTGACTTTTTATCAATGGCAAATATAAGACAGTGATTTAATGTCTCAGCAGATGAAATTTCTTATTATATTGCTCAGTGCCCCTTATACAAGAATATCAATGCATCTTAAAATACTGAGTGTCAGGTGGCACCTGTGGCTCAAGGAATAGGATGCAGGCCCCATATGCCGGAGGTGGTGGGTTCAAACCCAGCCCTGGCCAAAAACTGCACCAAAAATAAATAAATAAATAAATAAAATACTGTGTGTCTACTGACCCCGTTGAAATGTAAGTCTACAAGGGTAAGGATTTATTTATTTATTGTCTGTTTTGCATAGCTCTATCCTTACCTGGAAGAATGTCTGACAGAGTAGGCCTTCCATAAATATGTGTTGGATGAACAATGAATACTACCCTTTACCTCTTATGTGGCCTTCCCCTACAAAGCCAATTACAGCCTGTGATTGGTCTATATAGTAAAAGAAATTCCTTTTATTTCTAAATTAAGATACTTTAACTTCTTTTTTTACATCATTACAGAGGACATATCCTTGTAACATAATTCAGGGTGTTATTATAGATTCCATAATTTGTAATTTCTATTTTTATGACATTGTGGAAGGGAGCTATCCATAATAAAACCCATAGATACTTAGACTTAAAAAATTGTATTTCACAAGAAGCATAACATTTTGTAAACTTAAGGAAACAACTCAAGATAAAACCCACTACAACTAGATTTTACAACTCACTTGCAGATTCAGTATTTTCACAGGTTTCTTCTTCATTTGCTGCTGGGGCTTCCTCTTCTTCTGGGTCATCAGTATCTCCTGACTCATCACTGTCCTCCACCCATTTCCCTGGCATTAGTCCTGCTGAGTCATAGGAGTTGCACAGAGGACCCACAATGTGAGAGATGAAGGATTCCTGAAGATTGGCCAACTGAGGGGCAGAACGGTCCATGAAGGGGCTTATGGGCAACCCGAGGCTGGCCTCCTCATCACCCTAGAAATAGGCAGTTAGCATGAGTCGTTGGCTAGAAAGGCCAATGAAGAGCAAAGTTTAGAATACGAGAGAAGTCAACATTCACCTTGCATCTAAACTTCTAATGTGCAAGACCTTAGACATTCATGTGCAAACTCCTTCTTTACTTGAGTGCTACTAGATACCACCCAAATGGTTAAGATTTCTACACAAATGCTGTGCTGCTATTTAGTACTTTTGTGACTGTTGATTAGCTTTTTATCAATGGCAAATATAAAACAGTGATTTAATGTCTCAGCATTAGATGAAATTTCTTAGTACCCTAACACAAGTGCATCAATGCATCTTTAAATGCAAAGCTGGAAATAATGATCAAAAAATATATAATCTACTGTGTTTTTTTTTTTTTTGGTATTTCAGCTGTCGGAAAGTTCAAAATAATCTATTGCCAGTTCCAGTTGCTCTCTTATCCTAGACTTTGAATTATATCATTTGTGATTATAGGGTCTCTGATATTCTCATTTATCTACATGTATAACAGTGTTATGGCATAAAGAATTTTAAATGGCTTCAAGTTTTTTTCAGAAGAAACAGATTATAAACCAGCAGTTACCTAGCAAAATATGTAAAGGAAATACGGCAAAATATCAACAATAGTTACACCTAAGAAGTAGATTTGCTGTATTACATGTGAATTTTCATTTTCTATTATATTTTTCTGCATTTCAATATTTTGGGAATGATTATAAGTTAACCTCATTCCTAGATAGGCATATGGTATTTTTTAAATGCATAAACTTTTATTTTTACATATGAACCATGCTTATAATAAGCATAAAAGTTCATTCTAATCTCTGTTTAAATATGTGCAGTGACAGATAATTTATTACTATGAATAAGGTGGCTCACCCTGTTTTTGGACACCGTTGGCACTATGAACTTCCTTCTGGCATTGACCTTACCTCTTCCTCTCAATAAACTCCACAGGCTGGTTACATTCATAGCCATTTTAGGTCAATAAAACGGGATCTAACATTTTTTATAAATCTGATCCTCTGTTAAGTACTTTATATAATTTATCTTCTTTAATCTCCGCAGCAATGTTATGATTAACCTATTTCTAAATTTGTTTGTCAATCCTTTAAATATGCGGAGACAGTTATTATGTCACCTTCATTTTGTTCCTTTCGTTTTTGTCATTGATTCCTGCCCTTTACCTGCGTTCTATTGCCTCCGAATTTTTCTTCAGAGAGTAGCTCACAATAAACAGAAAGCTTCAAGTACAGTCTGATCAGCGCAGGGTTATACGGAGGACAACCCCACACTTAGGTTACTGTGTGGTTATCTGGTCATCTGTTAACTCTCATGCCATCATGTCAAATAAAATGTCTATTTCTTTTTAGTTTTTTCACATGCTGCTGTTATTAATTCTATTAGAAATGTAAATGAACTTAATCTGATAGACATTTCTCTACACGATAATAGGCTTTCTCTGCTCAAGGTTGGACAGGGATCCCCCATTTTCTGGACCTACGTAGGCTCAGAAATCAGTCTCATCGTAGACCCCATTCGTAGGTACAAACAGGTCCTTTACAGGCTGCATTCTCTGGACACAAACAAGCTCATAAAAAAATCAACCTGACCAGTATCTCATCTAGGCTGCCTCTCCCAGAGCAGGGAACGTACTTTAGTGTCCACCCAGAGCAGAGAACAGTTTGCTTGGAGCAAGGATCACAAGGACTGACAATGGTAGTTTTAAAATTAACTTCTGCCCATAGGCCCCTCGAGCCAAAACTACAGTGACATATTCCAGACATACATTCTATCTCTCCAACCCCCCCTACCCACAGGATAGGAAATGTAGTATATAAACCCCTAGACCAGAGGTTCTCAACCTGTGGGTCACAACCCCTTTGGACTGTATTAAAGGTTCGCAGCATTAGGAAGGTTCAGAACCACTGCCCCAGACAGAAGGCCCAAAGGGGCTACCTTCTCAGTCAGTCCCCGTTCTACTGCTAAAGGTTCTGTTCCTCTCTTTCTCTTATCTATCAATAAATCTGTTCTTTCACTTACTTGGTAGTCCATGGATTCATTCCTTAAATCTTAGAGAGCAAGGAATCATCAGAGAGAGATTCCAGCTACCTATGCAAATTTGAACTAGCTTCCATTAATGTAAATCAGTTTATGGAAGAACAGTATTTCCAAGAGTCATCCTATTGTCTGACTTCCAGTATTTAAATAATATATTCCCCCCAAATGTCTGCAAACGTTTTATCTTAGAATTCTACAGTCATTAGTTTAGTCTAATTTTTATGTATAATTTTTTAATCTCCTGATCAAAATTGGCCAGTTCATTTTGCGATTAAAAATATGAACGTGCAATAGAGTAATCATACTTTTACAGCTTTTGTTAGCTTTGGCAAATTCATGAACAGACTGAAAGTAGAAATTAAGATAGATTAGATGGTTTTTAGTTACCTGTTCATAAAACTCATTGACAATACCCTCTGTCCACTGCAGATGCAGTTCTTTGCATTTCGCTGGCCCGTTGATATCAGCCAACTTTATACACATCTGACAAACCAGCAGACGGTCATTTTCATTGGTCCAATCGATTCCAACATCATCATTCACCTGTTTGAGGAACACAGGGAAAATGTGTTTTGCTTCAATGAAAACAAAAGCTGAATGGGAAAAGAAACAGATTAATTGTAATCCCACTATTTGGAGATCAGAATACCAGATAATCAGGAATTTCTCAACCATTTAAAAACAATGTTACTGACCTGCATAAATTAACAGTAAATAGTCATCAATAAGGTAAAATAATGACTAATGCATATAATAATAAGTAATTATGCAATTGACAATAAATGTTATTTAAAATTTGCTTATGTTATCAATTACTGTTAAAATAATATTGCTACAAATGACATCAAATTTCCTTGAATTAACACTTGGGCATTTATAGTTGAGGTATAAAATTCTGTTTTTTTCTTTTTTTTTGGAGACAGAGTCTCACTTTGTCACCCTTGGTAGAGTGCCATGGTGTCACAGTTCACAGCAACCTCTAACTCTTGGGCTCAGGCAATCCTCTTGCCTCAGCCTCCCGAGTAGTTGAGACTACAGGTGTCCGCCACAACGCCCAGCTATTTTTTGTTGCAGTCCGGCCAGGGCTGGTTTCGAACCCTTCACCCTTAGTATCTGGGGCCAATGCCCTATCCACTGAGCTATAGGTGCCACCCATAAAATTCTGTTTTCAGTTTCTAACATTTACTACTGCTAGATGATATATATGAGCACACCACAGAGATGAGAACTAATCAAATCAAACAAGGAGCCAGAACAAATGAGAGTTAGAAATTATTATTCCTCCATAACACAAAATATGACATACACAACAACCAACCTACTTATTAGGTAACTAGATTCGGACCAATATGTGTCTGTCTGCTCTGGTTAAACATTCCGTCGCACTGCCCTTTCACATCTGACATATAAGAGTTGACAGTAACAAGTTTAGCTCAACACTTTGGTTCTCTGATAACTTTCAATGTGGCTATAACATAAAGGCTGGCACAAATTTAGTTACCTTGGCATTTAGTTTGGCAACGAAGTCAAAGTGTTTCTTCAGGTCTGTGGCCAAAATTGCTTCAATGACAAGGAAACGGAAATGCTTAAATTCCACATGGTCAAGGTTAACTAAGAAGTTATACTCTGGCCGGGACATGAAAAGATTCCACGCAGCAGCTGCATGGTGATTCTCCAAAACTGAACGATCATTATATAGCACCGCCTGGGTGAATAAATGAGAGAGCTAAAAGTTCAACTTGTTAAGATTAAAAAAAAATCTCAAAAATAAGTGAGAATAAGCAATGTTTTCAAAATTTTTTTTTTTCATAAAACAAAAAAACGTAATCTTATGACTGCTGGTTATTAAGAATTCTTTATTACTGTCTGTTGACTCTTAATTATTTTTCTTGATTAAACTTTCTTTTTTGTAATATAACTTCCTTTCCCTGAAGCTTTTGCCCAAGCATTTGTGAAGGGTCCTAGCCTGACTTCACAGAAACATTTTCTTCATACATTTTTTCTTCAGATTACTTTGTAGGGCACTGGAATTTACACACACACACATAAACACAAAGACCCCTAACCCATCTATATTCCTAAGATATAACTTGGTTATTTTCTATATCTAGCAAAAAAATTACCTCTTGTAAGTTAAACAAAGAGGAATAGAATCCCTAAGAAGTCTACGATTCAAAATATTCTCACTCCACAATCAGCCATGGGAAATATCACCCATTATTTAGTAATTGAAGACATCAAGCAGGGGTCCTCAAACTTTTTAAACAGGGAGCCAGTTCACTGTCCCTCAGACCACTGGAGGGCTGGACTGCAGGCCCGGGGATGAGTCAGCTGCTAAGCAGGACAGGCAGTGGGGGCAAAAACATCCTATGGGCTGGATAAATGTCCTCGGTGGGCCACCTGTGGCCTGTGGGCCATAGTTTGAGGACGCCTGACATAAAGTAAGCATCTACTTGCTGGGAATTCCCTGAAGAGGATAAGGGAAGTGTTATTAGATACGGTTTTTTTTTTTTTTTTTTTAATAACAGGAAGCTGCCTGCAACCTGCTTGAAGAATAGTCTGCAAAACAGCCCACGTAGGGAAAAAAAAGGCATAAGGACAAAAAGGAAAGATGAAGCACAAGAATATTAGGACTGAGGTAGGTTCAAAGGCAGACATGTAGAAAAATCTGACTGGCAGACTGATTGTGCCAGGAAGAAGATCTTTGCTATCTTTAGGAAAAATAATTCTGCTGTGTGGAGGACATGTGCAAAGAAGATAAAGTAAGTAGTTAGGAAAAAACAAAATCAGGGTATTTTTACTGTATATGAGCCTAGATTCAAGGAAAATTATAAAACAGTCCGTAAGAGACATTGCGGAAACTGATGAGAGTGGGATGGAAGGCAAAAGGCCAACGAGAACGAAAAGATAAATATGGCACCAAATTGGCCTCGGGATCCTCTAGAAAGAACGAGAAGATCTCTGGATGTTCAGTAACTTGGGTCTAGCTGATGAAATCAGGGGGAAGCTGACAATTTAATTATATGGATAGAAATACCTCCATATTTACTTTTGGACTTAGATTGAAATATGCACCCAAACAAACTTTTAATGTATTAGTTTTTAGAATCTGTGTTAGAATCTGTGTCAGGTTAAAAAAAAAAATCAGCTTCCTTTGTATGAATGAAAGAAATTGATGTTAAATTCCTACCAACCAAAATCTATGCCATAAGAATCATAACTGTTGGCGGTGCCTGTGGCTCAAAGGAGTAAGGTGCTGGCCCCATATGCCAGAGATGGCGGGTTCAAACCCAGCCCCTGGCCAAAAACCACAAAAGAAAAAAAAAAAAAAAGATTCATAACTGTAATGAGTCTATTTCAAAGGAATGTGGTTTTGATACAAAGGAGTGTTACATTCTTAAAAGTCCAAGAGAGATTTGGTTCTCTAATCTTTTGAGAAAGGGACTTTTGTATAGGTTTTCTTTTCTTTGTTGAGGAAGTTCATGGATATGAATTAAAGAAGATTTTCTTCATATGAAGAAGATGGAGAAGGCATCCCCACAGATAATAAGTTGTATGCTGGCCACTAATATCTTGGAAAAAACCCTGATATCTCTTCAGAAGTAGCGTGGTCTCTAAGAAGTTTATCCTCGGACTAAATGGAGTTTGGCTTATGTTTACACGTGGTGCCTATTATGAATCCAATTTATAAACTTATTTTTTTCAGGGAAGTTTTAAAATTGAGTAATTTCTCCTACATGAAATGGAAAGATTTACCTGCGGAGCACTGGTCGCGACTAGGAAAGCATTAGTCCTCCCTGGGTGGTCATAATCGTGCATGGCTGCGGCCACGTACAATGCCATCAACTCTAAGGCAGGGATATTCCCGGACAGACATCCGTATTTATCATCTGTCACATTATACATTTTTGAGAATACGTATCCCATATGTCCATGTGTAAATCCACTGTCAGAATCTGGGAAGAGAAAGCAGCAGAAATTTTTTAAAATCATGTAATTGACATATCATTTGTCTTGACTTCTTAAAAACAGAACAGAACAGCACTCTTTTGTTCCCGTCTTTCCCATGGGAGCACAGATACACTCCCCACATACCTGAGTCACTTGCCGAACCATGATCATTAATCACAGTGGAAAGGCCTGGAATCGGCTGTGTAGTAAGATACCACACGGCGTGTAAGACGTCAGTTGCATGAATTCTGTTATGATCTGTAACCAAGGCAGGAGAACAGTCATCTGTTTGTGAACTTTGGGGTCTAAGGACTGAGAGTGCCATCTACTGGATAAACAGGCTAGACTTAACATTTTAATACCCCAGTGAAAGCCAGACTTTCCACAGCAAATAACATTCTTAAATGACTCTTCTCTAACGCCATAATATCCCTAGTAACCAGAGCAAAACTCACCCCCGTTTATTATGAATCCTGATGTCTGAAGAGGAAAACTATGAGTTTGGAGTCTACCAGAAATCTACACAGGTAGGAAACTCACTACCTGAAACAACTGTAATGCTTACTCTTTCACTTATTTCCACGCTTCTGTGTAAGACTAGGCAGAGAACCAGAATAAGATTGAGAGCTCTGGCACACTGGAACTAGATCAGATCTATTACTTCATCTCTGAGAAATATCATCAAGGAATAAATCATAATACCAGTCTTCTGTATCAATCTTAAAACACCTCAATAGGCTCGGCGCCTGTGGCTCAAGAGGCTAAGGCGCCAGCCACATACACCTAAGGTGGCGGGTTCGAATCCAGCCCTGACCCGCCAAACAACAATAATGGCTGCAACCAAAAAATAGCCGGGCATTGTGGCAGGCGCCTGTGGTCCCAGCTACTTGGGAGGCCCTGGCAGGAGACCTCGCTTGAGCCCAGGAGTTGGAGGGTGCTGTGAGCAGTGAAGCCATGGCACTCTACCCAGGGTGACAGCTTGAGGCTCTGTCTCAAAAAAAAAAAAAAAAGAGTTCTCTCCTCATAGAGCTCAGCGACAGCCTCACCAAGGACTACATGAATGTCAAAGCCCATATCCACATGTTGTTAGAGGGGCTTAGAGAACTACAAGGCCTGTAGAATTTCCCAGAGAAGCCTCACCATTGACATATTTTCATCATTCTCCAACATTAAAGACCCTGAATACCAAAAATAAATAAATAATAATGATAATAATAATAAAACCTCAATAAATATGAAGGTGCAATAAATATGCATCTCGTATGTATAAATGAAATCTACAAGCAAAATTTAACGCCCAAATCAACTACATTCTCTGATCTGGACATTGTAATTGAGAATATACTTCTAGGAAATACCTAAAACAGAACAAAACACAACATAAAACCCCCCTTTGTACAGTAATGTAGGAAGTTGAGCCATTTTGAAAAGTAAAAGCTAGAAAAACCAAATCCACTAGTCATAGCTATTATCGTGGGAAGGAAGTCACCCGTAGTTCAGCTTCTTTTGACCCATTATCGGATGCCCAGTATGTTCCTGGCTCACCTTCTTTTTCCTGATCCACTTCTTCCACATTTTTTGTTTGCCCCTTTGTAGTACACTTCACCAATTGGTATGCTTTACCCTGAATGTACTAACCTTACACATTTTATTCTCCTTAACCAACCATGATACCATTTCCTTTTCTATGCATCACGGTTCTGCATAACACTCCAGGGATGAAGAGAAGATGGAAAAGACAAGAATGACAACAAAACTACGAGAGAAACCTGTTCCCCGGCCAGAGGAGAAAAAGGAAACCTTTAGCATTGTGGCTGTTGGAGCACCCTGCTGGTCGGTAGGTCGATAGTGTCTATTTTCCTATATTTTACTCAACTCTTAGGAGTTAGTCATTAAGGGACAACATGTAGCCAAATCCTGGGGAAATATCCTAGAAAGTCAGCTGAGCAGCCTGAGTGTGGGGCTTAAAAACATCCCAGAAGAGCTTTAAGAAACAGAACTCTGGGTGGTGCCTGTGGCTCAAAGTACTAGAGTTCCAGCCCCATATACCAGAGGTGGCAGGTTCAAACCTGGCCCCGGCCAAAAAGCTGCAAAAAAAAAAAAAGAAAAGAAAAGAAAAGAAACAGAACTTCGCCTCCCAAGGAGGAAATAGCAAACCTTGTACACCTGTGTCACTGCTAGATGTGACTGCTAATACTATTTAGTACTTCAAAGAGCAATTTTATTAAGATTGAAGTCTATATTCCTATGCATAGACCATCTCAGGTGATTCAAAACACATTACATTTACAGAAAATTCACAGCCAAGATAATGGCAATTACATTTGATTATCTGTACCTGGGCCACGTACAAAATTGATCATACTTGAATTTTCCGGCTTTGAGACAGATCTAGTTTTGTGTCTGCTTGGATATTTATTATCCATGTTACTGGGTATGAGTTGTTTCAAATTCATTTTCTTATCTTAAAAATCTCAGGATAATAACAGTGCCAATTTCGTAGCATAGTTCTGAGAATTTCAGAAGGGAACATGTTTTAAAGTACCTGCTATACAGACAGCTTGCAATTAACGTAAATATTATTCATGCAAAATAAGTTGTTGTCGGACAAGAAGGAAAACTAGTGAAGATCTCAGGATAGCTCTATAAATGGAAGCTAGATTTGTAAGAATAGAATTGAAGAGCTCAAATCAAAGCTATTCTAAGCTCTTGGGGAGGAAGAAGACAGTAGTGACCTAGTGCAGGAGGAAAGTGGCAGTCTGAGCACAGGGGCCTCTGCTGGGAGCCACCATGATGACTGCAAATCCAAGAAAGCTGTGCACAAGCCCAACATTACCAAGGTCGGTGGTGGGGGGGGGCAGTATGAGAGTGGGGGCAGGGCCTATTTAGGGTGAGGAATAGACAACACCTAGTCCAGACCAACCTGCAAAACTCTTGAGTTCCACTGTTTCCTGCCCTGCTCCCATCCTACCAAGGTCCAGGCCTAGACAACTTCATACTTAATTTTTACACATTTTCAATGAATAAATAAATTCAAATAGAACAACCAGGTTTATTACAGCAAATTCTTTTCACAAGAAATAAAGAACTAACCATTATAGAAAAAAAATATTTATATACTCATACCATGCAAAAATGTAATGGGAAAATATAAAAGTGAATAACAAAGTTTAGAATCTGAAAACTTCTTGTGCTTAAATAGTGGTCATCTTTCATTATTATTTAGTGATAAGCTGCCTACAGAAAAGTTAGTGGCTGCTATATCTCTGTTGTCTAGTATCAATTTGAACTGAATGGAACTTCACTAAGGCTGATTATATCACTAAAATACAAATGAAAATAGAGCATCAGTTTGGAAATTCAGTCTGGTAACTAGCTGTTCTTCAATGTTTTCAGTGGCTTCTTTTTTATAAAAGTTCATTTCTATAACTCTTTACTTCTGAGAAATCACACTTATGTCGATCACTGGCATCTAACAAGGGTGAGCCATGGGAGAATGGTATGAAGCCAGGCTTATCTTGAGACCCTTTCCAGCCACCCCTTTTTCATTTCTCTCTTCCAATTTTCATGGCTTTCTCAGCCAGATATTCCCCAAGGGGCTGGTACTGTTAAGCTCCTCTCTCCTCTACTCCACTGTTCTATTTCACCTGCATTTTGGTCCCATAGTCTCTAAAAATAACTTATTTGTTGTTCAATTCTTCATTCTTTTCTTATCACACACTACAGGCTTTGCAGAGTCATTCCAATGTGAAAGTCATTTTGAGAAACAGCACGTCAGCAGTGGATCACAAGGTGATGTATGCTACCCCTTACTGGAAATACTGGTGCTTTATCTGTGCCTGGGCGTTTTTAAATTTAATTTCAGCTCTTTGTAACTATAAAAAAACATGGGCTTTCTGAAGTCTGAGGTGCATAAAAGCAAATTTAAAACATTAAAGTTAAAATGTGATTTAAATAACACATTTCTAAGACATGCTCCAACCAATATATAATGTTTGATTATGTTTTTTCTTCTCTGTATGTATTTACTTAAAGTATCACATGATTTCTATACTTTTCCATCACTTTCCTTATTGAATCTATGAACATTTCCTCAGATTCATATCCTCTGTAGCACTATAGGACAATTCTTACATGTTCTGACTGATGATACCTGACTTATTCCAAACTGAACATGTATCTAATTGTTCATTCCAATTTTCTGTTATTATAAACAGCAAATTTATTCTCACTCAAAGCTTGAATACTGTGTCCTGCCCTTAGATTTTCTTCTTTACCTAATTTTTAAAATGTTTCCAATCACTTTTTTAATCACCCCTTCCAGAAGTTTCTTCTTGTTAATGAGGCCATCCTCCTCGTATCCCTCTAAACATCAGCTAAGTTTATAATATTTGAGAAAACTTCAATATTTAGTGATTTAACTGTTCAGATGCCATAGCTGAATTCACCAAACAAAATAGGGAGATTATTACAGGGGCAATAAATTCAAATGAAACATTTAGCTGTTCATTTATCAAACATTTAAATTTGACTTACCATGTACAAGGCACTGTTATAACCTCTTTAAAATTATTACCTTGTTTGATCCTAGCAATCCTATGAAGAAGGTATTTAGATCACTAAATGTAATGTTAAGATCACAGATTAAGAAATGAGGCATGCAGAGGTTAAGTAAGACCAAGGGTCTCACATGACTGATAAGTGAAGGAGTCAGCTTCCCATCTGGGCTGTGTCTTCTAATCATGATACAATGTGGCCAGACTGAGTGGCTACCATGTGTAATTCTGTTCTAGCTGGTGATGATTCACTATCCCATGAGTGATAACAAATTCAATAGGTTTTTTAAAGTTATTATTTCATAAGTCACTTATACTTACAAGGAATATCCCTGTATCCAATCTCCAAAGCATGAAAATAATTCATAAATTCTCTAATTGGAATTTTAAAAGCTTCAAAGAGGCCCATGTCTTCAAAAAGTCTGTATGATACCTGTAAAAGAGACCGACAAAGCCTTACAAAACATCCTTAAGTGTGTGTTAGACAGAAAAAAAGAGAAAAAAAAAAACCAAACAAACGAGGGACAAAAGTGTACATCACATCTACTACTAATTTGCTGACATTAGAGACCCTTACTATGCACAATAAATCAAGGTACACATGGTGCTGTGTGTGTGCCTACCCTTCTATATCCCTAACTCTTATAGCTCCTGACCACATAGGCATATAACCAATTTTTAAAGACTAGACATAGACCTGAGAAATCACCAACACCATAGTACCATACCGAGGCACTAAATTGTGTGTGCTATTGGTAACTAGAGGATGATATGAAGCAAACTGCACAGTACATACTGTGAGCACTACATAAAAGAGGATTAGAGAATGGTTTAATTTGAACTGATTTCATTTTTTATAAAAGTTTTCCAGGAATGTTGTGTTTTGTACCAC